AGTGACCTGGCTAACTGTAGTCTATGAATGTTAATGAGTGCAAACCCTTTCGCTCGTCTAGTAAGCTGCAGAAATGTTAAGCCTCACCTGGAACAAGCCTCTACCATAAAACAATGCGACAGGCTTTCCTAGTAGACGTTCACTGAATACCTGGAACTTGTGCACTAACGAGCCCTCAGGGTTGTCTAACTGAAACACATACAGTGACAAATGCATCAAGTTGGCGGTTGCTTTACTACTCTACCGGCTACTTTTGCTACAGTAGTGATTGTAATAAATACTGTAACGAGTAGCATAATACAATTCCTCACCTGCTTGTAGATATCGTTTTCACCGAACGTGTAAACAGGAACCAACGAAGCGCCACAACGGAGAGCCAGCTTCACGAACCCTTTTCGAGTGAGCAGCTTCAGCTTATGCACTCCAGGTCGAGCATAAAGAGCCTCTTCGGTTCCACCTACATTATTCTGCATCGGTGAATGATTTGGAATAATGGATGACAGTAATATTAATGCAAGTCAGTGTCACCTACCCACGACGAGAATCACAGCTTGTCCTGCACTCTTTTTCGTGAAAACGTTGCTGATGCTTTCTTTGGAGCAGTCAATGAATCCGCTTGCAAGAAACCATTCTCTCCTGGGAGTATCAATAATTTCCGTTGGAGGATGGAGCATTTTTTGACCTCCTGCAATCCCTTACCTGATCATGAGGTGAAAGTTCCATCTTAATGCGCACGCAAAAAAGTGAAGATTCGGGAACTAAACAAGTCCAACTTATTTTGCGGCCGAACCAACAACAAAAATAGATGATGTGGGATAATGCAACAGCATCAAGGGTGGTCATACAATTTTCTAATGGCCGTTGGACCATGTTCAGACTCCGTCAAGAAAGCCCTGCACGGAAGGAGTGGACTGCTATATGTCCCTCGAGTTGGAACAATCTACCAAGTAGTCTGACACGATGTATGGATGCACGGAAACGTTGTCGTCGTCTTCCAAAAAACTCGGTGGTTTAGCTTTCACGACCAGGCTTCTCTCTTGAAAATAATTACCAATTAATTCCTAATCCACTTGATTGGATATCAAGCATACTTCATATACTGAAGAACTTGAAGTTTTTAACCTACTCAATGACAACGAATCATAGTCGTCACTTACTAATGCCCCTCCGAGGAATCCTTTCCGGTAAAATCATGCTTTACTTTCTCAACATGAAGTTGTCAGTTGTGATCAATAGAGACAACACAACTTTCCACGCAAGAAGATCCAGTTCCCAAAGAGAAACGTGCTCACGAAAACCACACATCATGGACAGTCGAAGGGAAAAATAAAGCATAGTTTTGTACTCCATTTACGTGCCCACATATCATGCAAAAAACCGTTTTGAAAAAAGGCTCCACGTGGTGAACGACCTCCCTGGTTAGTACCGCAGTGAGACTTCTGAGCTTTGAGCAACATTCAGTACTCCAGAGATTATGATTCTGTCAAAACCATAAGGCGGCTCTAAAACGTTCCACTTATCAACCTCGTACGGCACACAACAACAAGCATCTGAGAACATAATAATCGTTTTTATGACACCAAAATAAGAAGTAAATAGTTCTGCTGAATTTTGGGTAACTGGCTTACATAGTCGTTTTCTAGGTGTGCTGAATAAACTGTTTTTT